AGTAGACTCAGGAAACAGCAGCCCCAGGAGGCGCTCACAACGACCCCCGTGTGCTCCCTCAGGAGGTTAAGGGACGCGGGGCGTGTCTGCAATGAAGCACTACGCAGCTTCGCTACAGCAAATATGACACAGGGCAACGATGGGCAGGGATGTCTCAAAAAGCCTTAAATGAGAAAAGGAAGATGTGGAACAGTGTCAAAATACGCTGTCTTCTGAGTTAAAAGAGGAGTCAGAATGTGTGTTAGAAAAAATGTTACCTCTCAGTAGAAGGGAGTCACCGTATAAGGATGATACTAGGTACTTTATGGATGTGATTTGTGGCATTCTCACTTCCACCCGGGGAAGCAGGCAGGGCCGTCCTTTTCCCAAGGAGAGAACTGGGGTTCAGTAGATACAGTGCTCACCCTGGGTGAAATGCCTAAGTGACAAGGCCCTGCCTCCACAGAGCCCAGCCTCTGCCTTCTCTCACCCACATCCACATGGCTCTATGGTCAGAGTGGGCCAGGGGTGGCCACTGACCTGTAAGTGAGGGTTCTAGAGCAGAGTCCTGGGTGGGTACTGGAACCATCAAACACTCAGGAAAGCGGGAGATGCCAGGGCTTGGCCCAGGCAGACTCGGGGAAGGCCTCTGCAGACAGAACCAGGTGGGGGGGATGAACACTGCCAGCATGGGGCAGAATGATACTGACAGGAGGAAAAGCCAAAGGGTCTGCTGGCCCAGGGACACTTGGTTTTGTTCCCCATAGCTCCACCACACAAAGGATGGGAAGGTGGTGGCAGATCTGTGGTCCTCACAACACGACAGGCACTGAGGGCAGGATGGGGCAGGGGAGAGCTTGAGATGCTGCTGAGGAGACTCTGAGGCTCCACTCGCTAGAAGGCCAAGGTCTTTGCAACTGGGGGAATGTGAGTCTGAACCTTGGCTCTGTCACCTCCCTGCATAAGGCAGGTCCCTGAGCTCTGTGATCTTTAGCTTCTACATGTGCATAGTGGTTTTGTAAAAAAACCATCTGACAGTATCTAATGAAAGAAACGCAGATGCCCTTTGATCCCACTGTCTTCTGGAATCTTATCCTACAGTATCTAAAGACATAAACTCCCCACTCAGTACCCCGTGGTGCTAAGTGGGGATGCCCGGCAGTCAGGTCTGGGAGAGGCATGATGAGAGATAGCAGGTGGGGTCAGGGCTTGGAGCAGCATGTGCACAGCATAGACAATGGTGCCCAGCATTGCCAGCACTCGGCGGTCACTACTACTGTTGGACTATCACTACCGCTGTCTTGTGAAGACCCCAGGAGCTAGGACAGCCGCTTGGACTTCCCTTGTGCTCAAGCAATGTAGCTGGCAGGAAACAGTGCTCAGAGAACATTCCAGAAGCATGTGCATCATGTCTAGTCATGAGAAGGACAGGCACAGGGCCCAGTCAGCAGCTGGAAACCAACAGCAGGACAACCAGAGGCATGAGGGTTTCTGAATAGAGGACAGCCCCAGCTTAGGCTCCAGGCTCCCTGACAGGTGTGATCTGGAAAGGTTTGGCAGGTGAGGCATGGGAGGAGGACACAGGCCAATAAGCACAGGCTTGCAGCAGCCAGTGGGAAGAGAGACATGGCCCAGGCAGCTCTCGGGGCTGCTGAGCAGACAGAGGATGTGAGCATCAGTGGCGGAGGGTACAGAAGACTAAAGAGCTGTTAAGGGCCCTCTGTTCCCCATACTACGGACAGGGACGGAAGTGGAGGCCAGGGACTCTACCCAGCTATGATGAGCAGTGCTGCCGGCCTGGTGACGCAGACTGAGCAGGACGGTCTCTAGGCATCGTGAGCTTTCTATTCACAGGGAACCCAGTAATTTTCTACCCACTCTATTTCCAAAAAAGATACACTCGCTTTAAATGTCACTAGGCTGCTCGTCTGGTCTCTTTCCTGAGCAGTACTTCAGGCGAGCTCAAAGCAGCCCCAGCCACCGACATGCAGGCCAGAGGGAAGAGCACACAGAGTGGCCCCGTCATCCCTGACCACCAACCTGCCCCAATAAGCACTACGATTGGGCAACAGGGAGGGATCGCTGGAGCACAGGCTTCAAAATCTCAAAGATGAATTCTACCTAATTACATGCACGTTGAAGTATTCAGAGAAAAGTGTACAGATGTTTGCAATTTATTTTAAAATGCATCAAAAAAATGGACTGATGGATGGAAGAGGGATGGGTAGACATGTCACAAAGCAGCTACAGGAAAAACATTCCCAGCAGAAGCGAGGAGATGGGAAGTGGTACTCACTGTAAAATTCTTTCAGCTTCGCTGTGTGTTTGACAATGCTCCATAATAAAACACTGGACAGTCCAGCAGGACTTAGTCTGGATGCTGACATCACTCAGCCAGTGACATGGGGACCAAGAGGATGCCAAGGGAGCACCAGAGCTGAGCCCACGTGTGCAACTCTCATGCGGGGCTGTGCCTGCCCTGCCGGGGTTGGTGCTCAGCCTAGTCAGGGCGACTAATGGCCAATTCCTCAGTGCCAAAGGCTGCCTGGGCACCCTGTCCAGCCTGTCCTCTTGCCCTCAGAGCCCCAGGTTTGGTCCATCAGAACACTGCATGGAGAGCCACATGCTACATTGCCATGGTAGGACTAGGGATGATGGTATTTTCAGGAGTAACAATAATGGCCGCAGTACTCTCAACCAGGCATGTGCTGGACTCTCCAGGAACCTTTGCTTGCAATCTCCAAAGACAGACACGTCCCAGGGAGGCACACAGAGACAAGGGCCGCAGTTGTGGGAGATGGAGCTGTGGCCCAACCCCAGGCTATAGAGTCCAAGCCCAGTCAGTGCTCACCTGCCATGAGTAAGGGTCATCCGTTCTGTCAGGATCAAAGAACAAGGCAAATGACAATAGGGCCTCTCCTGCTGTCCCCCAACCCTTTTTTGGTTTTGGTTCGTGGTTCTCAGCCAGTGGAGAAATGAAAGATGAGGGGCAGTCATTGGCCCAGAGATGCCAAGGACAGGAGGACCAGCACTGCTGGGCAAGCAGGCCAGCCAGGGCTAGGAGGCCACAGGTTCCAGGCCTAGAGGACAAAGACTGTGTTCCCAAATGTTCCGACCTCGGGAGGTATACAACACTGCAGTCCTCCTTCTGCTGACATGAGGACTACTCAGTTTCTGGCTTTATTCAAGAACACTGAGACATTGTCAAACCCTATTCTGCTTATTAAAAATGCTGAAGGTCACTACGGATGAGCGTGTGAACAGCTAATGACCCTTAGGGAGAACCCAAAAGGACAGCCCAGAGTGGGGCTGTATGATGAGCTTCCCACACAGGCCAGTCTCCCAGCCCTGGCCAGGCATGCATAAGCACACAACGGAGCGAGCACACAGCCCCCGCTCTAAGTGGTAACTGGAGTTCTGTTTCCTCGCCAACCAGCTGTGAACTAATTACAAAAAGTTCTAACTAGTCGAGCTCCCTCTCCAAGCATATGTTCCCAATTAAGTCAAACTGCAGCTGATTTTAATCAATCTTCCTTGAAGCGGCCCAACTTGAAGACTCTCTTCTCCAGAGGGAAGAAAGAGGAGCACAGGAAGGCAGTAGAGGGCATCTGCATAGGAACACTCTGCAGCCGCCAAGTGCCAATTGAGCCTCTTCAGATCCTCCTGCGCTGCCCAAGCAGCTCAGCTGACACCCCTCCCAAGGTCTGCCTAGAGCTGCAGGTCTGAGGCTTGCACAGAGGAGGACTGGGGTCCCTAACCCAGCACACTCCCAGTAGGCTTCACACACTCTGCAGATGCTTTCTAGGGACATGTCTGGGTTGGGGCAAGAAACAAAAGAGATGAGATCTTTGCCCTCAATAACGGGAAAGACAGGAGCATTTGTTGAGCATCTACTGTGTGCTGGGCCACCCCACATGGGCATAATTATGCCAACTCTATAAAGGAGAGTTTTCAGGGACTCAGATATTAAAAAAAAAAAAAAAGAAAAAAAAGAAAAAAAACAAAGGAGAGAGACAGGATTCCCACAAAGGCTGTGGACACAGATGCAAGTGCCACCCAATCTCCGGGCTGGCTGGCGGCTCCTGCCTCCAACTCTAAGTCACCTTCAGACCCACCTCAACATGGTCTAGGGAGGCATTGGGAGCTATGGAGCCCTAAGCTCAGGCTCTGCTCAAGTAAATACCCAGAAAAACATTTGACTCCACCTGATGTAGCACTGCTGATGGGCAGTTGGAGACCAACCGGCCAGCAGCCGAGTGCCCCCAACATGAAGACTGTGGCCCAATTAAAGCGGTATCGGATGACAGGTCTGAAGGGCTGAGCACAGGCCAGTTGCAGCTCGCAACGCCTCACTTTATCAAAGCTGTCACTTCTCCCACTACCAGAAATTGGGAATAAAAAAGAGATTTGATTTGTCTCAAATAGGTGCCAAGATAAAATCAATGCCCTGCCTAAAAACCAGGTAATCTCAAACCTATGGTTTTTGCCATGGAACAATTTAGACAGGAGGATAAAAATCAAAAAGAAAGTTAAAAAAAAAAAAAAACCAGAAACAATGTGCATAGTAGTCTCACTTCATGATGACAGATAGATGGACATGGGCTCAATGCAAATCCAAAACCACAATGGAAAGACCTCACTCTAGCTTCTCACTCACAAGGTAATTCATGTCACACCAGATATCGGATGGACTCCAGGCCCCATGGTCAGTGCAGTGAAGAAGGGAGAGAAATGAATGAGGAGGATGAAGAGGCCTCCAGGATAAGGAGGCTACTGATCAGCACAACCCTGTAAATGGGATATCCTCTACTCTGCTGGTCCCTGGGACGTGTGCTCCCAAGCCAGAGAAGGTGCAAGAGAAATTCCCATCTGGGTTTAGACTGACAAGTCAGAAAACCAGGATGTTCTGTGGGCATAGGAACCATTTAAATCTTGAAAGAAACCCGGGAGCAGGCAATGCCCTACAGAGAAATGTGTGGTTCCAGGTTCACCTCCACCAGGTAGCTGTGGCCAGTGCTTACCTGCAGGGTACGTCTCTCCAGCTGCATTTCCAGCATCTTCTTCTCTTCTTCCAGCCGACTTCGTTCTCCCTCTAGCTCCTCAATCTTTAATCTGCAAAAAGAGCAAGACCATGATGAGACAACTTTGCAGCCAATACTGGAGAAGGCCTGGCTGATTGAAAGCAGAAAGGTTGAGATTTGGCTGTGAAGTTTGTTTCCAAACATGCATATGTGAAGTTCTAAGAAGTCCATGGGTGACATTTTTTTTTAAAGTGCAAAACTACACAAACACAGGTAGGGAGAGGCCATAGTGGCATCTATTCAGAGGGCAGATGAGTAAGGTGGCCACAGCCTAATAGGAAATACATAAGAAAGTCAACAAGAGGATAAACATGGCAATCTGGGGGTGTCCTGTGTCCATCTTTCCACCTCTAGAGGGTGTTTTAGAGAACACTGAGAAACATGATATGAAGATTCTTTCTCTTTCTCTCAGTCTCCCTGTCAAATGGAAAAAAAATTAATAAAACTTAAAACAATAAAGTAAAATTTAGAAAGCAAATTTTAAAAAGGGCAGAAAAACAGCCCATAACTAAAAGAATAATAATCAAATGAAACCTATATAGACATTGAAATGGGCAAACAAGGACATAAGACAGTCTTTAAAACTGTTGGAATAATGGAACAGTTAAGAACAGACATGAGGGGCCACCAGGTTGCATGGTGGTTAAGGGCACTAGACTCCAATGTAACTGACCGTGGTTTGAGTCCCATACCTGGCAGTTTGCTTTCTCACTTCCTTCCTCTCTCTCTCTCTCTCCCCACCCCTCTGGTCAAATTAAAATAAATAAATAAGGATAAATAAAATAATCCTTTAAAAAAAGAAAAAAATGAACAGACATGAAAGATACATTTTTTAAAAACCCAAACAAATTTCTACAATGTCTGAGATAAAAAATACATCTGGGTGAAATTAACAACAGATTAAACCATGCAAGAGAATAGCTTAGTATACTTGAAGGCACAGCAATAGAAACAACAAAAAATAAAAGAGATTTTTGGAAAAAGAATTTTTAACAATGAAAAGAGAATTCACTAGCTGTGGGAAAACCTAATGATATATAAAATACATGTACTTAGAGAGTCCCAGAAGGAAAGGAGAGAGAGAAAGGAAGAGGACAAATGTCATAAGAAAGTTCCAGATTTGGTAAAAGTTTAAAGCCATAGGTCCAAGGAGCTCAACAAACCCCATGCCCAAGAAACATGAAGACAATAATCCCAAATAGTTCATCAAATTGCTTAAAACCAATGATAAGTAAAAACAAAACAAAACTCAAGAGTAGTTACAGGGAAACAGAGACATTATATATGGAAAAGCAAAGCAGGTTTCTCATTAGAAGCAACCAAGAAGAAAATGAAGAGAAATCTTTAAAATACTGAAAGAAATAAAAATCACCAAACTAAAACTCTATAGGCAATGAAAATATCTTTGAAAATCAAAAGGAAAATAGGGATGGTTTCAGACATACAAAAACTGAAAGAATTTATCGCCAGCACACCTGCTCTCCAAGAAATATTAAAGGAAGTATTCTGGACAGAAGGAATCTGACAACAGGTGGAAATATGGACCTATTTAAAGAAGAAGCAAGGACAATGGAACTATAAGTATATGGTAAATATTTTTTGTATTATTTAAATCTTTTAACAATATTTAAACTATTTACTATTTTTAAAGGGACTGTCTGCTTAGATAATAGTAACATATTGGGGATATTTAAGACACGGTATAAATAAAATGTATGACAACAATAACATTTTCCCCTCCAAGGTTTGAAGAGGAAAATAGACATTACAGTTGTACAGCTGTTATGCTACATGTGGAAAGGTATTATGTCACTTAAAAGTAGTTTGTGATAAGTTAAAGATGTATAGTATAAACTGTAGAGCAATCCCTAAAATAATAAAATAAAATTGTTATCGTTAAGAAGCTAAAAATAGAAAACAAAATGGAATCATAAAAACACAATTAAAAAAAAAACAGGGAAAAGGGAATGAAGAAGAGATAGGACAAGTGGAAAAGAAAACATTGGGATGACAAGATTGAACCTAGTTATATTAATATTCATATTAAATGCAAATGAGCTATCCATTCCAATTAAAAAGCAGAGAGATTGAGGCCAGCAGGTGGAATAGTGCCTAAGGCGCTGGATCCCACACAGCTGACTTTGTGGTTCGAGTCAGTGGCTTGAAAACACACTGGGCACACTTGTAAATGCACTCAAAATCCTGAGAGGAGAATAGAGAAGAAACTGAGGCATGATCATCCCCCTTGGAAGATGATTTTTCACTTTCCCTTTTTCTCTGTCTCTCTGGTGAGTGCATGTGCACTGTAGCAAAGTCTAATTAATTAATTAATTAATTAATTAAAATTTTAAAAGCAGAGATTATTAAATCTAATTTTAAATCAATACCAATGGGAGCCAGCAAACGGCATGGTGGTTAAGACTCCCACATGGCCAACTGCAGTTTGAGTCCCAGACCTGATAGCTTGCTTTCTTGCTTTCTCACTTTCTCTCTGTCTCTCTCTGGTGAGTACACGTGCCCTATAGCATGTTAAACAAAATATAATTAAATAAATAATTCTTAAAAAAAGAAAATCAATACCAATTACACTCTGCCATCAAAATTGAACTGGCCCCACAGTGTAGTGGTTAAGGAAGCTGAACCTCATATGGCTGGCCATAGCTAGAATTCTGGTCCAGGTAGCTTGAAAAACATACTGGGCATGTGTGTGTGTGTGTGTGTGTGTGTGTGTGTGTGTGTGTACCCCAAAATTCTGACAGGATTGAAAAATGGAAGAGAAGGAATTGTGGTATGATTGCATCCCCTTAAGGGGTGTTTTCTTTCTCTCTTTCTCTGGCAAGTGTATGAGCCCACTGACAAACAAACAAATAAACATGTTATCACTATGAAAACCAACAAGAGAAAGTTGTTTTCTTTTCCACTTCATCTATCTCTTCTTTATTCCCTTTTCCCTCTACTAATATTAGATGGAATAAATTTCTGGGCACAGACAATGATCAAGAAGATAATTAACTTCATAATAATAAAGAAACCAATTAACCATGTGAACATACCAACATAAACACATATACACTAATAAAAGAATTTCAAAAGAAATTAAGCAAAAACTGATGAAACTCTAGGAGAAATTGTTTGATCCACAGTTACAGTTAGAGACAACATCTCTCTCCCTCTTTTTTAAAAATTCTTTTTTAAAGCTTATCTACTTATTTTTCCATGAGCGTGTGTGTGAGAGAGCACACCCAACAGGGCCTCGACACCACAACCCATTCCTAGCTTTTTGCCGGCCTTGCAATAATGAGTGTCCAGTGTACTCAGGAAGGTCTCTGGACTTGAACCTGGAACTTTTCCATGTGGGACTGGCTCACATCACATTTTACTACTGTACCGCCATCAGTCCCCAATCTCTCTCTTGAAAATTGACTAGCAAAAAAATGTAGAAGAATAAGGAGACTTGAACAACATCATAAACCAACAACCTGACCTAATAAATATTTATAAACACTGCAACTATTAGGTTGTTGGAAAAGTCATGACATATTTTTCTGAATGTGTCGGGACTTTATCAACAATCCAATATTACAGTAGAATAGATATTCTTTATAGGTATACTCAGAATATTTACCAAGATATACCACATGCTGAACCATAAAAGAAAGCTCAATGTGTTTAGAAGATTCATGGTAATTACAGATATTTTCTGTGACTATAATGAAATTAACCTAGAAATCAACACTGGAAAGATAACTGGAAAATATCTTTTGCAAAAGCAGCCAACATCACAAAATACACAGAGATAAAACAGGCCAGCAGAGGCCTTCACTCGACAGCTACAGAGTATTGCCAAGAGATATCAAAGATGACCTACTTATACAGAGAGAGAAATCTTGTTCAGAAGGTTGGAAGACTGAACGTTGTCTTAATTGTCAATTATTGTCAATATTGACTCAAACTGATCTATAGAATCAAAGCAGCCAGTCAGAAATTTAAAAGCTGATTCTAAAATTCATATGCAAATTTAATGGACCTAATGTAGTCAAGCGGCATTGAAAAAAGAAAAAAAGGAGGGCTACCTAATTTCATGAATCATATTAAAGTAAAGGTGGTATTAGCCTGAGGACAGACTAACAAAACAGAACAGAGAATCTAGAAATAGAGACATACACATACAGATACATACTGTTTGAAAATATACTAAGGCGGGACCAGCGGTTTGCATAATGGCTATGTCACTGGACTCCCATGTAGTTGACTGCTGTTCAAGTCCCGGACCCAGTGGCTTAAACTCACACCGGGCAAGTGTACGTGCATGCCCAAGATCCCAAGAGGAGAACGGAGGAGAAGGGATTGCGGCGTGGCCATTTCTTACTTTCTGTCTCTCTGTCTTTCTTTGTCTTTCTGGCGAGCACACGCGCCCTATAGCAGAAACATCTCAAAATATATATATATATATATAT